AGAAGAGCTGTTTTTCTTTGGCAGGTGAGATACCTGTTTCCATTTAGTCTGTTTATTTTACACCAATTGTTTATTTTACACTTCTAATTCACAAGCTCCATTTCTATAAAAAGCTTGCCTTTTATACTCTTTAATATTAAATATTAATATTTAATATTTATATTATTTMTATATGAATATATTTATATCTATATATTTATAATTTATGATTAACTATTAATTAAATATTAATATTTAATATTAATATGCTCTTTAATATTTAAAATATACATAGTCTCACAGCAATACATTTCATGCTGGTATCAACAGGACTATGAAAGAATAAATTCTCAAATTCCAATCTGAGTGCTAAAGAAGCCACGTCTTAAAGAATTAAATCTTACTCAATATGAAAACTTCAGCTTGTTGAAATGAATCAAAATTTTACTTAAGTAATCCTTATTATCCCCTTAGCAGTTATGAAGAAAGAAAAAGCCTATATAAACACGTGTTGGGAATTAGATAAAAAGGAAAGTGGGATCCACTACAACAAGCCACGAGTGATCTAGAGCTGTGTCAAGAGAATTAAAACAGCCAAGAACGCCAATGAATACTTTTTTCTTTTCACAAAGTCAAAGTCCACTTCCATCAGCCATAAATATTCTTTTTTAGAAAGACACAATTCATAAGGGATTATTAGCAGCACGCAGTTACCTTTGGTATCACCTAAAATATACTTTAAATATGTTAGCCAAAGTACTTGCAGTAAGATTATGGAAATACAAAATTGTTAACCACCCATGTGAATTAACTACTCCGGAAAGATATTCTGCAGTGATATTTTACAAATATTACTGCTTTTCTTTCACTAAAGTAAAACACATTAAAAAGAAAAGAGAGTAAGAATACATATTTCAAAATAATTTCTAAACTGGTTTGCTCTCTTTCAGTATTTCAGTATTTCAGTAATTCACATGAGGGACAGAGGTAAGATACTAGTATGATAACAAACATCTCCCCATTTGTTGGGAATCTTTATTCCCAGATAAACTTCCTGCCTGAATGAAGAGAATTAAATCCAGAGAAAATAAAGAAGCTGTTTAAGAGAGCAGTTACATTGCTTAAGTTCAAGGGACCATATGAAATATTACAGGTTTAATCCACACCACAGATGTTTTCCTACAGTTTGGATTTGGCTCAAAGGAGCCGTACAAATTCAGAGGCTGGAAAAGGGCAAATTGTTTGGATTTGTTAGAACAGAGAGTCGAGAGTCACTCATGCAGAGAACCCGGGAGACATGCTGGCAGGAGGAGGGACCACTTCTCCCACCTGAAAACAGTTTGCACCACACAGGAAGGCTGGCGAGGCTGGAACGGGCGCAGCCCTCAGGCCTCTTGGGGAATGAACGCATGAGGTGTTGCCAAGACAACTGTGGCTTTCCATCRCTCTGAGATATCACAGACTCCTGAAGGGAACGGCAGAAGAATCCAGCTCCAGCTCGCAACCCTGCGGAAGGGCTCAAGCTCATGTCCAGGATCCGCCTTTGACCTTGCTTGGTGAGTTACGGAGCAGGACAGAGGGAAAAAAAGAGACTTARGCCCTTGACAGAAAGGAGCGTGCCTTCGATGAGAGATTTGAGCTCAGTGCGGATATGAATCTCTGACTGTTTTGTACTGGAAAACCTAAAGGACACCTGAATTATAGAATCATAGAAAAAATAGATTCCTTAAAGTTGGAAGGGACCTTCAGAGATCATCCAGTCCAAACCCCTACACACGCAGGGTCACCCAGAGCACGTGGCACAGGGTGGCATCCAAGCGGGTTTTGAAGGTCTCCAGAGAAGAGACTCCACAGACTCCCTGGGCAGCCTGTGCCAGGGATCTCTCACCCTCACTGTTAAGAAATTTTTCTTCAAGTTCCTGTGGAACTTTTGGTGCTTCAGTTTGTGGCCGTTTCCTCTATTCCTATCCGTGGCCACCACTGAAAAGAGGCTGCCCYATCCTCCTCACTGCCTCCCTTGATGTACTTTTAGGCACCGATCAGGTCCCCTCTCAGCCTTCTCTTCTTCGGGCTGAAGAGCCCCTGAACATAGGGCCTCTTCATAATATTTAATAAATAAGAGGTCCATAATTATTAAATAATTATTTAAGCTGAATTTGAACACAGCGAACTACACACCTCTGTGTATAGCTAATATATAAGATCCAGAATGATGATTTTTCTTCCATTAGTCACAGAAAGTAAAACAAGAAAAAAAGATCTCCATGTGTTTACAAATTCAGAGGCAAAAACTGTACTTGGATGTCACTAACTGGGCAAAGACAAGCAAGTTAACTCCAGAGCCCTCTTGATCCACAAAGCTTCTGTGTTACCAATCCTGACAACCTAAAGGCCAGCATGGAGATTTACCAGCATGGACAGCAAGCCCAGCTCCTGAACCTTTACAAGGATAAACAAATAACAAATAASAAATAAAATGGGACTTAATCCTACATATGAATAAATCCTGGAGAATTAAGAGAATATGGCTGGTGTTAAGTTACACTTCTGGTTCTCTTTTCAAGGTCAGGCTGCATCTCAGAGGAAGTCACAAGTGAATCTTGACTCTCTGAGGACCCCTATATTCTTACAGAAACACTCTGTACTATTTAATAAATGTGATACCATGAGGTTGCTATAGGTAGAACACAGACTGCTCAAAAAGCATTGCCTAGATAACAGGAAAGGCTTCACAGACAAAAGCAATCATATAGGAATCCATAACTGGGTGAACTTTTGAATTAGAAAGTATCTGAGTTGGTTTTTTGTTTGTTTGTTTGCCAATTACATTCTAGAAAAAAGTTACATTATTCTTCTTTCCCTTCCTATGGATGAGAAAGTTAGTCTTTGCTTGAGCCTCTGTCCAAGCTATGTGCTATGATATACTATAATTTACTGAACCACTAAGTAATGTCAGGCATCATGACTTATCTTCTTAAAATTAGGAAAAATCCTATTTATAGCATGGATACAAGTCTGATAACCAATCCCAATTAGGATTCACAATTGTTTGTCATTCTCAAATCTTTCACTGAGTTTTTTTATAGCACATCTTTATGAATGGGCCTGTTTAATAAAATATACATAGCCAAGATACAATTATTATTGCTTTTACATTTTGGGCACAGTTTTATACTTAGATAAGCAAAAAACATCTCTATATCAAATTATCTCAGGAAAGATAAAAGGTCAGTCAAGGAGCAGACTGATAAATCTAAGTTCACAGAATCTGCCTGTATTTTAACTAAAACAGAGCATGATCTTAAAAGCAAGATCATCCTACAAAAAAAATCCACCCTAGCTAATGGAGTTCTGAAATTATTTGCCTTCCTTAAATACAGATATTCTAAAATAATTTAAGTCATATTCAAAAGGCAAGTGTACATGCTCTTTTTATGGTCAGGACAGACAAGAAAGGGTGTTTAAGAAAATGGTTCCTGCTAGGTTACAGTTAGATACAGGTTAAAGAGGAACTAGTAGGGCATAATTTGTTGCTCATTATGGTGTTGAGTATTTTCAGAGAAAACAAGTGTATCTGACATTAAAATAATTAAATCAATTTTGGTAAAATTACAGGTCACCTGGCTCTGGCTTAGTCTAGTGCTCGGTTGGCTAAGAATTTAGGAAAAGATGCATTTATGATTTGTATATAGTACCAGCTTACAAAACCTGTATGCTTCCTTACCAGGAACCTGTATGGAAACCTTATTTATTTGCAGATAGCCTGAAAACTCAGGCAATCAGTGCCACAAATGACAGACAAAAACCATCTGTTCCAAAATGACTCATCGATACATATACACATTCTAATAATGAGACTAAAACAAGCTTTAARTCCTAAAACCGATGCGGAGAGCTCTACAAGACCCTGAGGAGGCKGTTAGGCTTGTTTCCCCACCATTATTTTGCTGGCACACTTCACTGCTCAAAACCAGAAAAATATTCTTTAATTTAGACATGAGGTGACACTGAGATACGTTAATTCTCTTTTGCAGTTTGGTCTTAAAGTGTCAGCATTTAGATTCCTACAATTGAGCTTCTCGGCACTGGGTTATGAAACAGGGGAAGAGTAAAGACAGCTATATTACTTATCAGGCACAGTATAATTCTCAAAAATTGAAAATCCTGTAAAAATCCTGTAAAAAGAAAAAACATGCCCATCCTGCCTGGATGATAACACGTTGCCGATGGATACGCAGGGCAGCAAGGCACTGAGCAGGTAAGAGGTGTCACAGTCTATAATGACAGTACTGTCCATACCCTCCTATCAGGAAGGTATCCTGATATCCTCCTATCATGTCTTTTTTTTTTTTTTTTTTTAATACCTAGCTCATCTGAAATTCAGGCTTGAGATGCTTCACATCCCCTACATCCTCAGTAACTCTTGCTCTAACACACCACGTTTAAAAAGGGGGCAAATCTACCATGGCAAGTGTACTACAGTAACTTTCACATGTATGGGGCAGATTTTAAGTCAGAAACATCTAACTGGCCTAAATTTGACAGCACCTAAATTGCACTTTGAATTAAAGTGGCCCGCCCAGCCTGGTTTTTTTTGTTGTTTTGGTGGTGGTGGTGATTTGGGGGTTTTTGTGTGTGTTTTTTTTTTTGTTTGTTTGTTTGTTTGTTTTTGTTTGCTTGTTTATTCAGTATATTGGGACAAGGCCTGGTACTGAAGCAGAAACTAAAACCCTGTCATGGCTGAAGCCCCGATAGGCTCGTTTTGAACATGGGGCGCTGGCAAGAGCATTGGCACTCACGTCAGGGTGCAGAGCACCACACCAAGCTCATAAGCAGAGCCGCGTGCACCGCGTTTCTACATTTCTGCGTGACCAACATTTCTGCGAGACGCAGAAACACGAAGAGTCSCCGCTCCACGGGAACAACGTGCGCCCCAACGGCGGCCTCCCCCCCGCCCCAACGGCGGCCGCCCGGGGCACGCCGGGAGCTGTAGTCGCCTGGCCGCGGAGCACGCCGGGAGTTGTAGTCGGCGCGCGGCAGGACATGGCGGCGGTGGCGGCGCTGGGCGCCGCGCTGCTCCTCGCCCTCGGCGCCCACGCGGGSAAGTACTCGCGGGAGGCCAACGAGGGCCTGGCGGGCGCCAAGCCGCGCGAGGCCGCCGAGTTCCGCGTGGTGAGGCTCAACCAGGTGTGGGAGAAGGCGCAGCGGGTGAGTGCGCGCAGAGCGCGGCCGCGGGGGGCTGCGGCGCCGGCGGAGCCCGTGAGGGCCCGGCCCGGGCTGGCGGGGAGAGGAGCAGGCGGGCAGGCCGGGCTCGGCGCCTGCCAACGGCTCCTTCCTTCGGGCCGAGGAAAACGATCCCGGCTTCCCTGGGGTTTCCCGGGATTCCTGGGTGTGCRTTCCCCAAGCTGAGCTATCGAAGCTGAGCTATCCCGCCGGGAGCAGACACCCTCGGCCGGCCCATGGCAGYATTACTGACAGGGCTGAATCCAACCTTCGAGCCCCTCCGTGGTACTCTGGAGTTGTATCCAACCTCCCAGCATGGAAACAACCGAGAACAGCCCTTCCCTCAGTGGGAGAAGGACGGGATGAGGTCACAGGAGTGGCCACTCACGCACCTCTGGCCATGACCTGGCTGTTGGAGAAGGCCGAACAACAGACAATTAAATATGACGGAGGTAGCATTAACTCCTCCTTAATTTTTRCCCTATATATATTTTTCCATACCTGGACTGTCTGGAATTCAAATTTGAGATTCTTCTTATCACCTACATTGAGTCATGCCCCATGGTGTTCCAATGTGAAAGGGATGTTTGTCCATCATGRTAAAGAACTGAGCTATAGTAATTTTCACAAGTATAGGCCAGAKATTAAAGATGCAACACCTGCTCGGCCTGACTTTGCCACCCCTGGAATTGCACTTTTGAATTATATAAACACCCAAATGGTGTTTTAGAAAGTAGGGGTTTTTTTTCAGCATGTTGGGGCAGGATTTGGAATGGGAGGAAAATCCCAAACTCAGGCCTACGTTAGATGTGCTTTGAAATGATGGTCAAATGCTGAACGCGCCTTCCCTGGTTCTGATGGTGGTGGCGGCTTTTGTTAAATAGCAGGCTGGAAATGAAGAGCTCCCTGTTTTTTCACTGCAGAGGGTGTTTGTATTGTTTTTTTCCCTGCAGCTTTTCAAATTTCCCTTTCCATAGCGGCGTGTTTCATATAAAATGTCACCAGAGGGATTTGGCTCGCAGGGCGCCTCTCGGACAGACCCTGACCCCGTAGCTCGAGTCGGTGACAGATCTGTGCAGGTTTCACAAACCATTTCCTGCTGATCTCACATAATCACTTGGTGTCGTTCTCGTATCGCCCGTTCTCAGGGGCTGCTGTCCATGCCAGAGCAGCTGGTTCCAGAGCATGTTACACTTCAAACCTTGCAGGGAAGCAGGTTTCCCTCCCTGCTACACACACAGAAGCCAACAATGCTGCTGGAGCTGATGATTGTAGCTGGACCAGCAAGTTGTCCTGATCCTGGTGCTCGGGTCCAGCGCTGCTACATCCCCATCTTGGGTATTAACTTTCAGAGAGCAAAGGGAATGAGTAACTAGGGGCTTTGTTACTTAATGATTAATTTGAGCTTTTCACCTCTGCTTTTAGATACTTAAGCCAATACATTCCTTATGTTGTTGACGGTAAAGTGAGGAAAGTGATAAAGGAAGGAAAGACTTTTTTTTATTTATTTTAATCTGGTGTCATTCTGGGGTCTGCATAAGATGATCTCTAAGGGAGACAGCTCTAAAAGTGTATACTTTTGATTAGCCTATGTAGTCACCTTTGTGCGATATAAATGAGACTGACGTCTAAAGGGATAGTTTCTTGAACTCCATAGTAAATTGAAATCAGAGAAATATTATTGAAATTGGGAGAAATTCGAACAGAATAATTAGGATTTTTTCCCTTAAATAACAGTGGGCCTAATATCATTACTTATTTTTTATGTAAAAAAATGTGCCTGGTTTTAATGACCAAGGGCCTCTAAACTTTCCATTTAGAAGATCTAACACYCTTCTCTGGAGCTTTTAAACAAACCCAAAGCTGCGTATGTTTATGAGACTGCACTGTCTGCGTAAGACTTCTGACAAAGTGAGCTGTGTAATGTTYGATATCTTAGTTCATCTCTGATGATCAAGTTATACATTTAAAATATCGTAGTGTTCTTTTGCAGTCTTTTGGAGCAGAATTAGTTTTTAATTGAATTATTGCAGATCTTTTTCAGTATCTGTTCAGTCTAACGGCGTATTAAGTCCATGCTTCTTTAATGCTAACAGAATAAGGAACTTCTGACTTGGTCAGTCATTTCCTTCACAATTTACAGCAAACTTTTTACTCARTCTTCCTTCCGAAGCGTCGTTTTGCACGTTAGTTGTCTCCATACTTGTTTTCTCTGTAGGGTTAGAAGGAGATCCAGAAGAAAGCACGTTCTGTGGCAATGGCACATTCATTTCATTGTGGCTGTCTTTTGTGAAATATTGAAACTGGGTGGTTTTAATTTTCAGGCCTAAAAGAAATTCAGTAGTAAACAAAGAAAGGGGAACAAGWGCGTGTTTKTGTTGTTGTTGTTCTTGTTTGTTTGTTTTCCAATTCTTTTTCATCAGAAACAAACAAACGCCATTTGGTTACGTTTTTAAAGGTAGCCCTACTAATAGTGGGTGGGAAAATCTCTTTTAAATACTGCCTGAAGAAACTCCAAAGAGGGATGCAACTTCTTAACCCTTACATTATTTCATGGTTTTCCAAGTAGTTGAAGACCTGAAAGGGAAGGCTACATTGTTGCTATCACTTAGTACTGGCCTGCTGAGGGCATAGAACCATTCAYTGATAAGAGATTTATTTATGCCATGGCTCATTCCATAAGGCTTTTAAATTCAGACAGATAAAACCCATTTCAATAAAAGAAAAAAAAATGTGTTGTGTGCTGTGCTGGCTCCTGRAGTAACAGCAGCAATGCTGCAGCAAGAGGCGACTCCACATAACTGAATACAAACCTTTTTCTGATCTTATAGCTTCATCTCTCTGCTGTGAAACTGGCAGAGTTGCACAGTGACCTAAAAATACAAGAAAAGGATGAACTAAGCTGGAAAAAGCTGAAGGCTGAAGGGCTCGATGAAGATGGAGAGAAAGAAGCCAAACTTAGACGCAACTTAAATGGTAAGGTGTATCTTTGCAGAAGAGTTCTAAATTTTCCATTGGACATATGTGGTTAGATGCCTGTGCTTGTGGGAGAATCATTAAATAACAGGTTATCTTTCATGGGACTGAGCATGTTCAAGTTCTCTGGAGGTCAGCAGGGAGCTGTGGGAATCACAGAGTGGTTGAGGTTGGAAGGGACCTCTAGACATCATCCAGGCAGGTCTGGAAGATCTCCAGAGAAGGAGACTCCACGGCCTCTGTGGGCAGCCTGTTCCAGGGCTCTGTCACCCTCACAGTAAAGAAGTTCTTCCTCATGTGGAGATATGAGCAAGTCAAGGACAGGGACAGCTCCTCAGCAGCCATATATTCATGGTTGATTTTAATGGTTCTGTATCTTCTACTCTTCCTACAGTCATTATGACTAAATATGGCATGAATGGAAAGAAGGACTCTCATCTAGTTGATACCAACTACATTAAAGATGGTACAGAAAGTGATACACTAGATGATCCAAGACTGGAAAAGTTGTGGAGCAAGGTGAGTGCAATTTCCAGAAACAAAGCATTCTTGGAGCAGTGTACTGCTGTGGAGGTAAAGCAGAGAAAAAAGATTTACCGTTTTTTAAAACGTTACTGTAACTAGACACAGCCCTGGAAGGGACGTGATGTCATGTGCTTTGGGGAACGGTGAAGTGCCTGTATCGCTCAGAAATATTCCCTAAGCAAAAAAAGAGTTGAGGCTTCATATGTRCTAAACCCACTCACTTTTAGGATGTTTTGCAGCAAGTAGAGTTAGTCACCAGGCACTGCAGGCAGTGTTGTAACTGTATGAGCAGTGCTTCCCTCATTGCTAAAAACTAGTCCAGTGAAGAGCATTTCACTGCAAAAGAAGAACATGGCAGTGATAGATACTGTTCACTTGACAGGAGAGTAAGATTTCTTGAGTAGAGACTTAATGTCAGGCTGTATCCCTGCAGACAGTCCTCTTAAACTTGTATATATTGCTCAGTGTCCCTTTTTTCTGTTTCTGATTGTTTCTCRCAGCATGTAAATGGCAGAGGATTTTTCAGTGGGTAGTTCATAGGAATTGCAGCTTTGTAAATCCGAAGTAAACCACCTTTTGACGTGAGTGAAGCCACTGTGTCCTTCACTGTCTAAATCTTGTCTTTACATAAATGGRCTTAAAAGATCTAAGGAAAAGTTGGACTTAAATCATTTTCTAAACGTGGTGGGAAGTTGAAAGAAATAGTGGCAGCTGAGTACATGTAACAGCGCTCGGCCTGGGAAGCATAATGAGCTCGTGTCTCTTTCAGGCCAAGACCTCTGGCAAGTTCTCTGATGAGGAGCTGGATAAGCTTTGGCGAGAATTTAAGCATCACAAAGAAAAGATTCATGAATACAATATTCTATTAGAGACCGTGAGCAGAACAGAAGGTATCTGAACTATTTTTTTGATGCTTCCAGATCAGTGCAGCTCTTTCTGTGCTCGCTACCTCCATTGTTTCCAAGTTTCTTTGAAAATGTTAAAGTGTGACTGTTGTATTTCTCAGAACTGCTTGCAGTTGCTCACATTCCCAGATAACTGGTGCATTCCCAGATAAATGCTGATTAGATTAAGTTTAGTTTACTAGTTTAAGGTCTGCATTAGATGCTCCAAATCTTGCCAGCTAATGAAAGTATCGCTCATTCATTTTCCTGATTTTTGACCATGCTTCAAGCAGGGAAGATATTAGATTAGCAATCATGGCCATTGTAGGTTGCTAGAAAAAAATGCTTCAAAATGAGGTCCTAAGGTCTGCAGCACATGCACATTTTATCTCACCAGCTGGCAGCCCAAAAGGATATGTCTGGAATGTTAGACTCTGAGCCCAGGGTATTAAAGCTTTGACAGGCTGAATGCAGCTTGCTGTATTAACCCTAGCTAAAATTTTTGTCGGAGACAAAGTATTTTAAGAAGTTCATAGTCATCTTGATGCCTACTCTATGCCATCCAAGCTGAAGTTGCTGGAAGTCATTTCAGCATCTGATGTCCCAATTTATTCATGACTGCTAAAAGCAGTATCCGAAATGGCCACGGAAGGGGGCCCAGGAGTAGCCAACCATTCCCAGACTATTTCATTGGAATATTGCCTACCTAGTCAAATTAGAACAATTAACAAATATTAAAATCATAGCTAGCAGTCAGTAATAGGTTAAAAAAAACTTCCTTTCCGTCACCCTGCATAAGATTGAGGGTCACTAATGTTACTTTGTAGTCACCTATAAAAGGACTTAGGACTGCTTAGAGTGTGGCATTAGTGCTTTATTTACACTAACCCCTAGTGCTGAGAACTAAGTATCTTTTGTTAATTCCCAGTGGGGGAGATTTCTGGAGCTTTTGACCTATCAGGATTTGGCTCACAATCACTAAAAACTTTTCTCTGTTAACAGATATTCACAAGAATGTTATCAACCCATCTGAAGAGAACCTGGTAAAAGAAGAGGTCTTGCACAGCAAACACAGAGAACTCAAAGAGAAGCTAAGAAGCATTAATCAGGGGTTTGAGCGTTTGCGTAAAGTCAGTCACCAGGGATATGACACAAACAGTGGTATGATGACACTGTTTTTCTTCTCTTTTTAATATCGATTTCRTATAAAAACTCTATGGGCAATTAATAAGGTATAATTTCAGTACACAGTGTTGCCAGCCAACCAGGCTAGTTAAGACAACCGTTCCATGAGAGAGGATATTATTTCTTCTCACCCAGAGGAACAGCCAAGTGGGACAACATGTGGAGCAAATAACTCCAGTCATCAGTTCCTGGTGTATTTTGCTTTTTTAAAAAGAATTACTACAGTGCTAAAGCTTTCAGTTAAGAACTTGGGTTTTCCTTCCCTCTTAAGCTAAATAGACCAGTTAGTAAAGCAATGTTTAGTACATCTGCTTGTGTATGTGAAGGCATCATCTTCTGTAAAAAGTGGACGTGAACACATTGTGTCCAGATTTTCATTCAGTGATATGTATCTGTTTAGAATTTGAGGAACCAAGAGTGATTGACTTGTGGGACATGGCCAAATCAGCCAACTTTACTGAGAAAGAACTTGAATCTTTTCGGGTAAGTAAAATTCCAGTGAGATTCGTTATGGAAAGGGCATTGCCCTGCATAAAGAAGCAAACTCTGCCTATGTTATTCTGAGTGCCACCCTTTTCTATTTTTCTTCAGACAAAAATAAATGAGACACACATGGATAGTAATATTTCAGATATACAGATATGGGTGTATCTAGTATGAAATGTTCTATTATACTCATCAAAATGAAAGTACTGAAACTTGTGAAAGTAGGAGTTATATATTCGAAATCTTTCAAGGATCAGGCCCTGTTTGTTTGTGATGTAACAGGTTTCCCTGTCTTTTCTGAGGTCTCAAGTGATTACTGCTTTGGGTAGCAGTGAATGTGAGAAACACAAGCATTTTCCTCTCCTGTCTGCCTCTTGTACTGCTAACTTTCCATGTTGGAGCAGTATGGAAGTTATCCAGAGTTACCAGAACAAAGACTCCTATTTAGGAAAATAGCATTACAAAAAATCCCTTGGAATTCATGCTGTTTCTTTTATTATTATTTAACTCAAATTGTGTTCCTTGAGAAGGGAAAAATATATCTGACTGCCTTATCAAAGTGGATTGTGAGAACAGTGTGCTTTGATAGCCTGGAGAAGCAGTTCTGCAGGGCTTGTTGATGAACTTGCCTGTATTTATGGTTTTATCTTAAGACATGACTAGGGACATCTTGAGCTTCTTTTCCAGCTAAGGTAATGAAAGAGTTTTAACTGCCCCTGGCAGAGAATGAAATCTGTATCCTTTAGGTATCAAACCTCAGCTTTCAAGTCCATCCAGTTTCCCTCATGGAGCCTGATTCTCCTATGAAACAAACTGTAATTACACTAGTTTCAGTGGCTCTGCTCTTAAAAGTATTTCAGAAAAACCCGTGAAAATCTACATCAAAGCTCCTGCTCATCTCAGTGGGACAGATTGGTCGAGACTGTACAAATGCATGAGAGGTAAATTTGGGGTTGCTGTTTGCTTCAGCGGAAAGCAAACTTATCACCAGCAAGAACACATTATAGTTGTGCTTGAATAGTCTAGCAAAAATCCTTTGTTCAAACTCTGTTCACCAGATTGGATCTTCTTACTGTGAATGTTGAGATGTTCTAAAAAAAAAAGACAGTAAGAGTCATAGTGAAACACCTGTATGTTTGACACCTCCATGAAAGGAGAATTAAATCATTTGTTGGTTCTGTGGAGTCTCTTTGATTAGCTTAAGTTACATGTTTTCTTCTGACTGGCCTTGATACCAGCCTTTATAGGGTTTTAGTAATGAAGAGTGTAAAAGCTGTTCTGCTGGTGCACGACTGCAGAAGAAAAGCTGAAATGATTTATCAGAGCAATAAAACTCCAAACTCACGTCCTAAGTGGGTTGTAAAACAGACTGTGATGTCCAACGGCAAAAGGAAACTATGAAAGAAATGCTGAAAAGAGAGAAGTGCTCTCTGGAAGAGAGAAAGGAAAAAAAAAAAAGAGGAAGTCTTAACTAGGATRATTTTTTTAAATTATGTTTTGAAGCAAGAGGAATTTGTCAGCAATCTGGACTGAAACACACTAGAAAACAAAACTAAGTGGACCCTATCAAACAGAGGGGCACGCTGTAAAATTTGTTAGGGTTTTTCTTGGTGTAATGCACAGAAAGGGCTATAAGTCTGTGCGTTCTTCACTGAGAACATGCCCTAAGACATGGAGAGCTTGAAGGGGGTGTGTAACTGCAAGTAGCAAAACCGAGAGCTGGTTTTGCTCTAATGAGTAAAAACTTCTCTGTTTCTCCTGTCTCTCTTGCAACTCACTGAGTTATCTAAACGTCTTAAACAGGTGCTGAACATGGCAGTTAGTCTGGCCACTATTGAGAGGTTCTRCATTAAGTGATCTTTTTGTTTTGTTTGTTATTTAACTCATCCCATTTCAGGTAGTGGAGAGCAAACCTACAAAATGTTGATACCTTAGCAAAAAAACAGCAAATCCAGGAACTTATTTTGAAAAGAGGCCTCTCTTATAAATTGTTTTGCACCTTCCCCCATTATGTATAAGCTTTTCTTTAGTACCTGCTCCTGTCATCTCCTAATCCCTTATAGCCATCCTCAGTCTCCTCTGGAGGTCCCGCGTTGTTCAGGGTTGTTGTTCAGCATTGCCTTCAGAATTGGCCGTCTAGTGATGATCTGTGTATTGATAATGTATCTTCTGGGCATGCTTAGGAAACAGAGAACTGAGAAGRCTTCTGGTGCCAGAATAATTAACACGTTAGCAGTAAGCACGTCTGAMATGAAGAGACGGAGACAAAGAGGAAATCTTGGAAAGGGAGTACTGTTAAATTGTGTGTATTTGTTTTCCTAGGAGGAGCTGAAACACTTTGAAGCAAAAATTGAAAAGCATCATCACTACCAGAAGCAATTAGAGATTTCACACCAGAAGCTGAAGCATGTGGAGGAAATGGGAGATAAGGAACATCTGAGCAGAAACAAAGAGAAATATGCCATGCTGGAAGAAAAGACAAAAGAACTAGGATATAAGGTCTGTATAAATCCAGTGTGCTTATATGTGTTTAAAGCTCAGCAATTGAGAAAATGTGCGTTTTCCAGTGCTGATGGTTCATATTTATAATCTTAACTAAAGAGAGATGTTCTCATGTTGGGTACTGTTCAGTCATATAGCTCTAAGAACAAGCTCTAAGCCCATGGGTGATTTAATTAAAAAGGAAAAAGCAGTATTATTTCCAAACTGCTTGGGACACATAGGATTAGGTCTGTGCTGTGTAGGCCTGTGCAGAGCTGTCTGCACCAGAGAACCCCCAAGAAGCTGGTGGGTCTGTGTATGGTCCTGCAGCACAGGTAGGTGGGAGCAGCTTTCTTCACACACTGCTGCATGGCCTCGGTTTTCCTGTGTTTGTTCTGCATGTAGATCTAGCCCTAGTCTTAGGGTGAGCCCGATGGCCCCTATTTCTCTGCCACCTCTGTTTTCCACGAGGCCTTGCTGCAGAAGGTGCTGTCCACACACTGTGATGCAGCTGTGTACAGAGCAGTGGGCAGCTGTCCCTGGGTGGCAGCTGTGACCAACCCGGGCTCGGCCCATGCAGTTGTCCAGGGACTGGCCCTTTCCTCTCCCTCCTGGGCTGCTCCGAGAGCACAAGCCCAGGACAAYGGTCCTGCCTTTCCCTTTCCACCGGGGACTGTGGAGCAGGCTCTGTTGTGCAGACTGCCTGAAGGGCTTTGGGCAGGGGGGGATTTAGGACACGTGCTGAGCTCGGGGTGCTCCTTGATAAGCACAACTGGGTTTTATAGCCCTCTTATAACACACCTGACATGCCCCTGCTCTCTACTTTTCATATTATCACATATACTGATAGGAAAATCTGAACATAGGATACTGATTTTGTTTGTCTGTTAAGCACTGTTCATTTGCTTAGCCCCTTTTTTTTTTTTTTTTTTGCTTTCCTCTTAGGTTAAGAAACACTTGCAAGACTTGTCCAGCAGAATTTCTCAAGGTCTTCAACACAATGAATTATAAACACTTTTTTTTTCCTCCTTCATGGGATCTACCTGTTACTACAAAACAGAACGTTCTTCTGAAGAAGAGTTCTGAAGGCGTCCTTCTGTGATACTGATGATTGAACTGAATTGTCCTCCCTAAGAAATTTCTTTTTTGGTCCACTGGTTTTGTACTTGCACTACGAAGTTAAATGATTAGGTAATAAATTTAATTTGCACACTTTTCATAGAATCCTTAAGGTTGGAAGGGACCTCTAGAGGTCATCTAGTCYAACCTCCTTTTTGATAATGTAATTCTAATGCCTGAATCAAATACTAGTCTTTGAAATAAGCGGTTGTGTCAAAAGGATAAACTTGAACTTTCAGATATTTCCTAGTAGTTGAAAAAAATAAACCACTCGAGGTTTCATGAGAGCAGTGGACACRAGCACAGAGAGGCAGGAAGCTAAAGCAGAGTCAGAAAGGATAAGCAGGTCTTTTACTGAATAATTTCAGTGATGTTGGGCCTAATCCAGCTCCCACTGAAGGTAACTAAATGTGGCTACTGCCTCTGAGCAGTGGCTCTGAGCTGCACTGTATATGAATCCTGCAGGAGTAAGGAGAACAAGTACTGAGGTCAGTTCATCTAGTTTAGTTGTAGACTAACATGTCTGAAGCTACTGAATGTATGTGTACAGTCTTCTCATTCATGGTTGCTTGGTTTTGTTACACTTAATCATTAAAAAACCCAAACAAGAGATCCATGAGCATTTTTTCCTTCCTTTCCCCTTCAGTTAGAAATCATGTCCAGTCTTTGAGCATATATGCCCCTTACTGGGAATTAAAGTTCACTTGTGCATCAGCTTTAAGGGTTGAAAGGTTGGGGAGGCAGCTGCACGATGCACTGTTCCTGCCACCAAAGCCAACTGCAACCCTGTCCACGTCCTAGTACCATCGCTAATGTCATCAGCGCTCTCCCTGTCATAGAGTCACAGGATCCTGAAGGTTGGAAGGGACCTTTAGAGATAATCTAGTCCAACCTAGAGCACGTGGCACAAGGCTGCGTCCAAGTGGGTTTTGCTCCAGAGAAGACTTCACAACCTCTCTGGGCAGCCTGTTCCAGGGCTCTGTCACCTTCACTGTTAAGAAATTTTTCCTCAGGTTCCTGTGGAACTTTTCATGCTTCAGTTTGTATCCATTTCCTGTAGTCCTATCMSTGSCCACCACTGAAAAGAGGCCGCCCCCTCCTCCTCACTGCCTCCCTTGAGGTATTTATACASGCTGATCAGGTCCCCCCTCAGCCTCCTCTTCTCCAGGCTGAACAGRCCCAGCTCYCTCAGCCTTTGCTCATATGGCAGATGTTCCAGTTTGTCAACTCTATTTACTGGTTCAGTTTTAATACAGTTTATAGTTTGTGCCCTTTGGCTACTGTTTGAAAAAAAAAATAAATAAAAGGCAAAAAACTCCCCAAGTTTCTGCAGGTCACAGATACTTCAGATTAGGAACCAGTCACCTACCAGTAGCAGTAACACAGGAGCGCGCTATCAGCACAGGCACTTCACTTTGGGCATTTAATCCTGCTCTTACTGGGTSACAACAAGACTGAGGATTGTCCTCATTTTAATGAGAAGCACTTGATCCAAACAAACCTGCAGGAAAAAGAAAAAAATACCAGACAGCAGTGGCTGCTGTCTCTGGATCCAGCTTCCCCTGAAATACCCCACAGCTGAGCTAGGCCCTGCTAGAGGGTAGAGARGAAACTTGGAACAGTTTCAATTCCTGCAAAGGTTTTTTGGTTTTTACTGCTGTCCCTACCTTTGGAGGGCTGGAGATAGCTCTTCTCCAGGCGAAAAGCCTGATTTCACTCRTCTTTCTCTATTCTCTGCCTTCTACGCATCACTATACTACAAAGCAGGTAATTATTGCTGTGTTTTTAATTCTCCAAACACAAGTCATGTGGCCAAAATAACAACAGTGAGTGGTCTTAAGATATTATAGACTTTTAAAATAGCTTAAATCACAACTCCTGAGCTTTCATAAATAGCCAAAAAAAAAAAAAAAAAAAA